CGAATCGTACGGTGTCGAATAATTTGGTGTCGAATAAATCTGTGTCGAATCGAGCGGTGTCGAATCGTACTGTGGTCAAACGGAACCCGCCCGGTTTCTCCTTCCATTCCTGCCCTTCAAACGTGAAGAGCAAGATGGGCCTCCCATCCGGTGGCCGGTGGACAGGCCCCTGCTGTCACACAGCACACATCGCACGGGAGCCGTGCAGGTGCGCGCCGTGTGATCCGCATCCTTACCGCACCGAAAACAGGAGCGGGTGCAATCTACCTCATTCCGGCATGACTGCCGTACGTGGCCGAACTCCAGGCATTTGTAGCACTGGAGCCGGCGCACTTCAAGTGGGACGACTCGGGCGCTAGACCAGCCAACCCGAAGTCATCTCACAGCAGCTAACTTAGTAGCCACTGCCTTCGGGCATCTTAGCCAGGCCGAGCCCATGCAATCGCGGCCTTCAGCAATGGGCCCCATTGCAATGTCGCCCTCCCGGCAAGGGCCAAACTCTCCCGCCGTCACCGCCGCAACAATGTCCTCAGGGCCAACAGAGGCATTCAGCCCCGTTAGCCGGACCTCGCCCCTGCGCATGGGGCGGGACACCACCGCCTTACCCGTGAGGACCGGCGACAGAGCTTCCGCCAGGCGGTCTGCCTTCTCATTGCCTCCTTCCCCAGGTATTTCCAGAAGGAGGCCTTCCCCCATGTCTTTGCGGACACGGATGTCCCCTATCCCTAACTCTGTAAGGGATAATCGCTCCCTCGCTAGCCGTATGACAGCAGCGTACTCCCGGCTGCTATCATTGCCGAGAAGACACCTTACGGCGACTGCCGCCGTCCTGGGTGGTCTCCTTTTTGGGGGTTTCACCCTTTGCGGCTGCCCTTGTTGCTGCTGCGACGGTGTTGGCCGCTGCAGTTGTTGCTGGCGCTGCCGCAGTGACAGTCTCAGCGCCGTCCGGGCAGGAGGCCCCCTCCCCCCGCCCGCTTCAGCGGCAGCACCCGAGACGCCAACAGGCGTCACTCCCTCCGCCAGTCTTTCCCTTACGCCTACCACGGCGCACCACTTCCGCCCATTTAAAGGGTGGGAATTCATCCTCACCCCCGGAACCAACAGGCCTTACAAGGCTATGCTGTCGTGGAGCCGGGGGTAGATCTTTCTCCCCTGTCCGTGCGGGTTGAGTCCCTTTATAAAGAAATTCCCCCTTTAATACAGCCGCCATCTGCTCCTGCAAAGAGGCTACGCTTCGTGCTAGCTCCTGCAGCTGGCGGCTAAGCCCCTCTCCGGGCTGATCTTCGCCCCAAGCAAGCTTCGCCGGTACGCCTGTATCAGGCGGGCCCGGGACCTCCCTTTTTTTCTTCTCCCGATGATTTGGAGGGGGAGGAACAATTCCCAGCAGGAGGGATTGACTTCCCGCCGGGACCACCTCGACCGACAGAACTGTCGGCCCTTTCTTCTCTCTCTCTTTCTTTCCCGACCGTTCTTGTGCCGGGGCATCTGTCTGCACAGCAATTGTCGCCGTCTCGCAGGGGACTTCCGCCGAGCGCTGTCCGGCCTCATGAGTTAACCTCATAACACTAAGGTGGAGGTTGGCGTTTTCCACCTTTAACTCCTCAACCTCCGCCCGCAGAGCATCAAATTCCTGCACCAACTTTTGATGCTCTGCGGCAGCAGCGGCTTTCTCATGCAGGAGGTCGTCACGCTCCTCTCAGCGACACATGCGTTTAGTCGGAGGGTGGTCTCATCCCCCCACTCCATAACACTATCTACTAAAGCATCGCGCTGGGCCCGCAGCTCCAATATGCATGTCTTTATTCCGTGCTTCACCGACCCCTTGAGATTTTTACTTATACTCTGGAGTCGGTAAAGCTCGTTCAGACAAGCTTCCATTTTCGCCCAGATGTTTTGGGGCGGCATATTGCGGTAATCCTCCCCCGGAACGTCTGCGTCGGATCCCCAGGAGCCCTCCGACTCCTCCTCAGGATCCGCCTGGCGGCGCCTCTTTGTGGCCGCACGTGCTGGCCTCTTCTTTTTCTCCCCCTTGGATGACAATGGGGAGGCAGTTTTTCTACCGGTTAAAACCGATAGCGAGCCAGCTTTGCTTGACTTCGGGCCAGGGCGGCTAACAATGCCGCTCCCCCCAGGCTGGCTCCCCCCATCCTTCTTTGGACGCCTGTTGGTAGACGTCCCCTTGCCCTCCGGGAGACGGAAAGACCCGGTTACGGCAACGTCCGGAGACGCCCCGCGCGAGGACCGTTCAGTCAGCGAGCTATCAACGCTGACTACGTCCATGTCCATGGATGGGACATCCTTCATTGTGCTTGCAGTAGCAGTAGAGACCGCCTCGCCTGCAGCGCACGAGACGGCCATTTCACACTCTCATCCTTCCTTTCCTCCTCTTCACTTTTATGATTTTGTTCTCCCTTCTCCCCCCTAACTTTCCTACCCATATCTTCTTCTCTCCCCACCCGATCCTTCCCCCGCTTCCTTTTCGTTTTCTCCCTGTTCCCTTCTTCTTACTATTTTAACCTTACTATTTTTTCCACTAAACCCCCTCCATTTTTATCCTGTTATCTTCTACCTAGACATTATTCCCTTTCCTCCTCTCCCCCGCCGCAATTACGCCTAATTTTCTTCTTACCTCCCTCTCTTTCCACGATAGATCCTTTTCTATCCATACTTTTTTCCTCTTTAATCTCTTCTTCTTATCTCACACTTGCTTCTTGTCCTCCTCCCTCTCTAGGCTTAACCACATAATTTCTCCTTTATCCTCCCTTCCTGTGGGTGTCCTCCCCATTTCGCCTATCTTCACTTCTGCTCCTATCTTTTTCAAAAGCTTTTCTACTCCCCATCTCCAGTCACCTTTTTTTCTTGGAACTCCTTTTATTATAACATTCCTCCTCCTTCTCTCTTCCTTCTCTTTTCTCTCTATATTTTCTTCCAACAATCTCAATCTTCCTTCCCATTTGCTCTCCACCTCTACTTCCTTTTTCCCTTCTTTTTTCCTTTCCTCTCTTCCCTCTTTTTCCTCCAACCTTTTCTCCAACTCTCTCATTTTTTTTTCATCTTTTTCCCTCTATTCTTAATATCTCTTCTTTTTTTCCTCTTCCAATCCTCCAGTTCTCTCTCCATTCTTTTCACTTTTTCCATTCATACCCCCATATCCTCTCTTGTTTTCTCTAACTCCTCCCATATCCCCTTTTTCCTTCTTCCCCCTCTCTTCCTATATCTCCCTCCTTTCCTCCTTCTACTTTTCCACTCGGGGACCTCGCCGTCTTTCTGCTCTTTGCGAACAACCATTCTCCCTTCATCTCCTTTCTTTCCTCTCCATCTCTTTTTCTCTTTACCCACACATCCAGTGTGATCCAAGCTCTCGCTACTTGATTTCCCTCTCCTCCATCTCTCCATACCTCTCACCTTCTTTTCTATCCCTTTTCCGCTTTTTTCTGTCATTCTCTTTCCTCGCTACCACCTTAAGGCTTAAGCCCTTTCCGCCCTAATGATGTCCCCAGGAATTCCATAAGGCTCTACACCCTCTACTCCTTCTGCACTTACTGCACCTTCTACTGACCACCTTCCTTCCCTTTGCCAACCTAACCTCCCAGCTCCTTGCCACCCTTTAACCTTCTTTAATATCCTTCCTCCGCTACACTCACCTCTACCTATATGCCTACTCCTTCCAACCACTCTCTTACTCACTCACACACAACACACACTCTAACCACTGGCTAACTTTGACACAAACAGAGAGAAGCCTGAGAGCGGCCATGCCATTGTAGTTTCTTACGACGGTTTCAACCGCTGGTTTTAGCCGTATTTCCACAAAAGTGGAACTCAAAGGCCGTTCTC